CACTGGCCAAAAATCAGCAAATGCAGTATCGGTCTGGCAAAGAACCTGGTGCACCTTCCTGGTGTGGGTGGCTAGATGGTGCGTTATTACTCATTAAGTCACGGGAGATCAAGAAGTCAAGGGAAAAAAAGAGGAAAGGGCGTTTCATCTCCTTCATGCTGGTCACTTCATGCTGAAGTGCTTGGTCATATGAAGGCAATGATTACCTTCAAATCACGCAGCGCCACTAACCTTATCAAGCTTTCAGTTAACAACAACAAAATTACATTTATAGAGCGCCTTTCACGTCGGGAGGACATCCCAAAGCGCTGAAAACCATTGCTATATCAAGGCGCTGTATCAAATGCAAGGATTATTATTATGATTAATATATTGCTGAGCTGACTGCAGAAAGGCTGAAACACACATTGAAATGGCTCCTTTAAAACCAACTACTTGGCACATGTCACAAACGATAAGAAACAGCAGGCAGAGAGTTAGCAAGTACAAAGGTCACAATTTGTAAGACCTCAATAAAGACTGCTAACATTCAGCTGGGGAATGGATTGATGTTTGCAATCCTTTGCGTTACACTTTCACAGCTGATAAGGTCATTACAACAACAACTTACGTTTGTATAGTGCCTTTACGTCAGGAGGGCATCAATCCCTCAACTGAATAAAATTCAGCACAACGCACATCCGGCAGCAAGATACAAGGCACCAATTAATTCAAGCGATTTGTATGAGGACCGGAACGGCAACAGTAAAGCTCACACTTTTTTTGTGCAAGTGTGTGTGTGAGTATTTTTCCCCTCCTCCTCTCCAATCTCCATAGTCAGGGCTGTTTTAAGCGCTCCGAGACGCGTGGAAGGCGCTATACAAGTGCAAGTTGTTGTTGTCCTTGATCATTATCTGGTGATCTCAGCTGTAAAGTGTAGCAGGTACATAAGTGATGACAGGATTGAGCTCAGCTGCCTACATTCTTGACACAAAGAATGAGTCAGCACCTTTAAGAAAAATGGGGTTCCCGAGAGATTTGAATGAAGAAGGCCTTTTGATTCCCCTTTGCTCTCATCTTTCCAGAATGCCCACTCTGTCCTCCCATCACATCAACAAGATGCTTTTAAATGTGTCCAGCATCCTGACCTCAACCACCCTTCCTGGTAACCAGTCATTAATTACTCACTGTGTAAAGAAATGCAGCATTTGTTGGTGTCTGTCCTAAAGATGCCTATTGGAATTCTAAATCTGTGTTCTCGTGTCCTGCTGACTAGGTGAAAGTAATAATAATAATCCTTGCATTTGATATAGCGCTTTTCACGTCGGGAGGACGTCCCGAAGTGCTTCACAGAACACACTGTAAAGTGAATTGACTGTATATTTTTTTGTGGGCGAACGCGGCAGCCAATTGCGCACAGCAATGTCCCACAAACAGTCGTAGATTGAAAATGACTAATTTTTATTATTGCTTTTGGTTTGGGAGGGATTATTATTAGGCTCTGTGTGGAGTAAGGAAACTTGCCCAAGGTTTCGCCCTGCCTGGAATTGAACTCAGGTCTCTCGCTTGCAAAGCGAGTGCTCTAACCACTGAGCTACAGGACTCCACAAATTGTTCTGGATTTACTTTCCCCAATCAACAACAACAACTTGGATTTATATAGCACCTTTCACGCCGGGCGGCGTCTCAGAGCTGATTTAAACTCTTCTTTACCTTTGAGCGAAAAGTGAAAACAAAACAACGACAACAAAATTACATTTGTATACAGGGAGAGGACACGGGCTGCAGAGTTCTAGATGGTCTGCAGCCTATGGAGGGCGGAGTTGAGGAGACCGACAAGCAAGGAGTTTGCATAGTCAAACCTCAATCTTATGAATGCGTGTATGAGGGTTTCGGTGGCCTGAGGTGTGAGACCATGGCGGAGCCAGGCGATGTGGGAGAAGGTAAAGCGGATCATGGCACAGATGTGGGGTAGAAAGGATAGTTGAGGGTCAAATAAAACACCAAGATTCCGGATGGGCTTAGCAAGGCGGAGTATGCATCCATGGATGGTGATGCTGTCAGTGCCTGAGGTGTGGAGGCACTGACGGAAGCCAATCGGGAGAACCTCGGTCTTGTTGACATCCAACTGAAGAAAGTTAGCTCTAATCCAGGACTTGATGTCCAATAGACATTGTGTGAGGACAGCAGTGGTCCTGGAGTCAAGGGTGGAGGCAGAGAGGTAGAGTTGGGTATCAACCACATACATGTGGAAGTTAACCCCATGCCTGCAGATGATGTCACCAAGAGGGAGCATATAGATGTTGAAGAGGAGGGGACCAAGGACAGAGCCCTGACGAACACTGCACGAGATGGTCCGGGGACTAGAGGAGAAACCGTTTGTGAAGATGAAGTGGAGGTGGTGTGAGAGATAAGATCTGAACCATTCAAGGACATAACCGTGAAGGTTGAGGTGAAAGGAGAGGCGGTGAATGAGGATAGAGTAGTCAATAGTGTCAAAGGTAGTAGAAGTCAAGGAGGATGAGGAGGCAGAGGGAGTCCTGGTCGTAGATAGACAGATGTCATTTTGACCAGGGCCGTTTCTGTGCTGTGTGCAGCACGGACACCCGATTGGAGGGGTTCGTGAAGGGAATCGCGGGAGAGGAAGCAGCGAAGGCAGGAAGCAACATTACTTTCCAGGACCTTGGAGAGAAAAGGGAGGTTGGAGATGAGGTGGTAGTTTGAGAAAAAAGAAACTAAATGGAATCGGCTCGACAACTCACAAACTGAATCCGTTACTTGAAAGGGAGTGCTTGGTGTTGCAGGGCCATTAACTACTCCCTGGAATTAATTCATTGTTTACAACAAATTTCCCGGTTTGGCTGGATCACCCTGATCCAAAGCAGCTGCTCTCATTAAATCCAATGGCGCCACGGAGGCTCTCAGTAATGGGCATGGCCAGAGCGGTCTAACACAAGAGAAAGCAGGTCCAAGTTTATCACAGTGAAGAATTTTTGGAGGAGGAATCCAGCCAGGTGTCTGACACGTGTGGAAACCTATCACCATGCTCAAGAGCATCCAAACCAAACTGAGTATTCCATACATCCCACCTACACGTGGAAATCTCAGATCATGGGGAAGAACCCACGCTGGGAGGGTGGGATTGCATTCTGGAGTTTTGTTCCTAGAAGCAATGCAAAGTGTTCCTGGATTTCAGTTCCCCTTTTTAAAGAAAGTACCATAAATCCAACAACAAAATCAAGCTACAATGAAAGGCTTATCAAGGAGAACAATTGGGGCATTTTCAACAGAACATGAGTAGTCCCTGTGTAATGACAATACCAGGGTTAAGATAGCTATCTCATCAGTGGAGGTACAACAACAAACAATCGGCTCTGGGACTCCATCCCCCAGTGCCTTCGCCGCCTCCTCCCTTTCCTCCTTCAAGGCCGGTCTCAAGACCTTTCTCTTGACCGTGCCTTCAGCTCCCCTCTCGACTCTCTACCCCCTCCTCGCCCCCTCCCTTCCCTCCCCTCACCCTGACCATTTCCCCCCGGCTCGGGTCCTGACCCAACCGTCCAGCGCCTTGGGACGTCCTCCTGACGTGAAAAACGCTCTAGAAATGGAATCTTGTTGTTGTTGTTGTAACACGCATTTATGATAACGTGGCTCTCGGTTTCTCCTTCCATCCCCCCCCCCCACAAGCACAATAAAAACACAGCAATGGCAAACATCACAGGTTGGATGCGCTACTACTCCTGAAACAGGTCCTTCTCAAACGTGTAGTTGATTATTCAGGGACTAATAACAACATCACACATTGATGACACATCGCTTTCTGGCTGGATTCAGGATTATTAATAATATCAGATCTACATGAGGCCACTCGAATGAAGCAGTTTCTCCCAGGTAACAATTCTGTGTGGATGTCCAGAGGTTTGGGGGGGGGGCAGTGACCCATTCCCAGATAACCATCACTAGAGTGCAGTCCACAACCTTAACAGGGCAGCCAGAGAGAGAGAGGGGGGGGAGAGAGAGGTGGGGGGGAGAGAGAGGGGGGGGGAGAGAGAATGGGGGGAGAGAGGAGGGGGAAAGAGAGAGGGGGGGAGAGAGAGGAGGGGGGGAGAGAGGAGGGGGGGGAGAGGAGGGAGGGGGGGGGGAGGTGGGGGGGAGAAGGGGGGGGGGGAGAGAGAGGGGGGGGAGGGGGGGGAAGAGAGGGGGGGGGAGAGAGGGGGGGGGGGGAGAAGGGGGGGGGGGAGCCCCAGTCCCTATGTGGTCTGGTAGCTTCCAATACACACACAACACACACACAGAGAGATGGTTTTCTCAGTGCGCAGTACATTCCCTTCACTGAAGCTAAAACGTTTCCCGACACTTTCAAGCAATCGAGGCTATTTATTCCCTGGTGTTTCAGAGCCTGACTCTCGGGGTGACAGCTAACCCCGGGGGGGGGGGGGGCAAACACACTGAACCGCTCCACCTAAAGGTGGGGGTCTGTGGGAGCGCCTCACTCTCTCTCTCTCTATATATATATATATACACACACACACACAGTACTTAAACAGATTGGGACAAAAAAACATGTGGGAGTGCAAGTTTCCCTTATGAGCATTCCCCCCAACCCCCCCACCCCAGCCCCCCCCCCCCAGCCCCCTCAACCCCACCCCCAACCCCCCCACCTCAGCCCAGCCACCCCCCCCACCCCAGCCACCCCCCACCTCAACCCAGCCACCCCCCCCAGCCCCAGCCCACCCCCACCCCCCAACCCACCCCAACCCCCCACCTCAGCCCAGCCACCCCCCCCCACCCCAGCCCACCCCCCACCTCAGCCCAGCCACCCCCCCCACCCCAGCCACCCCCCCCACCCAGCCACCCCCCCCCCCAGCCCAGCCACCCCCCCCACCCACCCCCCCACCTCAGCCCAGCCACCCCCCACCTCAGCCCAGCCACCCCCCCCACCTCAGCCCAGCCACCCCCCCCACCCCAGCCACCCCCCCCCCCTTTACAGGCTGCTCGGTGTGCAGTGGACGGTGCTGGTGTACCTGCTGGATGCCGCCTCCTGTTCCCCGACGAGACGCGCCTGGAGCCGGGGTCCCTGTCGCTCGCCCCTCGCAAATCCTCCTCCTCTTCCTCCTGAAGCCAGGCTTCCGCCATCATCATATAGGGAATAGGATGCACGGCAGCACAGGCGGGGCAGGAGCAGGGGGAGGCAGGAGCAGGGGGAGGGAGGGCAGGAGCAGGGGGAGGGCAGGGGGAGGGAGGGAGGGCAGGAGCAGGGGAGGGCAGGAGCAGGGGAGGGCAGGGGGAGGGCAGGAGCAGGGGAGGGCAGGGGAGGGAGGGAGGGCAGGAGCAGGGGGAGGCAGGAGCAGGGGGAGGGCAGGGCAGGGCAGGGGGAGGGAGGGCAGGAGCAGGGGAGGGCAGGGGGAGGGAGGGCAGGAGCAGGGGAGGGCAGGGGAGGGAGGGCAGAGCAGGGAGGGCAGGGCGAGGGCAGGGCAGGAGCAGGGCAGGGAGGGCGGGGGCAGGGGGAGGGGGCAGGGGGAGGGGAGGGCAGGAGCAGGGGGAGGGCAGGGGGAGGGAGGGCAGGAGCAGGAGGAGGGCAGGGGGAGGGGAGGGCAGGAGGAGGGAGGGCAGGAGCAGGGGGAGGGCAGGAGCAGGAGGAGGGCAGGAGCAGGGGGAGGGAGGGCAGGAGCAGGGGGAGGGCAGGGGGGCAGGGGGGCAGGGAGGGGGGAAGGCAGGGCAGGGAGGGCAGGAGCAGGGCAGGGGGGCAGGGCGGGCAGTGTGTGCGCAACCACAGCCCAATCACTGCGGCCGCCCGGTGAACCCTGGCCAGCGGGGGCCGGGCCGACGGTAACAGCTCCGCTCTCTGCGGAGAAACCGCACGTCTCTTCTGCGGACGCAAGAGCCTGAGCAGCACTCACTGAGTGTGTGTGTGTGTGTGTGAGAGAGAGAGAGAGGGAGACAGTCAGTGTCTCAGTCAGTCAGTCACTGTCTCCTCACTCACTCACTCAGTCACTCTCTGTCTGTCTGTCTGACCCTTATTACTCCCTCACCATTTGTTACCTCAACAGGAGGAGGTCTCTCTTACCTCTCCAGCAACGACTTCCCTGATTGACTATCTATCTATCTATCTATCTATCTATCTATCTATCTATCTATCTATCTATCTATCTATCTATCTATCTATCTATCTATCTATCTATCTATCTATCTATCTATCTATCTATCTATCTATCTATCTATCTATCTATCTATCTATCTATCTATCTATCTATCTATCTATCTATCTATCTCTATCTCTCTATCTCTCTATCCCATCTCTCTATCTATCCCATCTCTCTATCTATCCCATCTCTCTATCTATCCCATCTCTCTATCTATCCCATCTCTCTATCTATCCCATCTCTCTATCCCATCTCTCTTATCTATCCTATCTCTCTCTCTCTCTCTCTGTGCTCCCAGGAAACTCAACTCAGCTGAACATAAAGGTGGCAGTAATAATAATAATAATAATCCTCGCATTCGATATCGCGCTTTTCACGTCGGGAGGACGTCCCAAAGCGCTTCACAGAACACACTGTAAAGTGAATGGACTGTATATTTGTGGGCGGACGCGGCAGCCAATTGCGCACAGCAGTGTCCCACGAACAGTCGTGGATCGAAAATGACCATTTTTTATTGTTGTTTTTGGCAATCAAAAAGAAAGGAGCATTCAGGGGCGTGATGCCCACCCCAACCCTCAGCCACCACCCCCTTCTGTGTGTCGTGACTCACGAGTTGCAACAAGTCCATTTCCCACTTTTAAGCCCAATTGTGGAGAACCAGAGATCTTTACAGCACACTTAAAAAGGCCATTCTTTGCCCTCTTTTATTTCCCCCCCCCCCACACACACACATACACACACAAAAAGAACTAAGGACTCAACTCAGCTGATAGTTTGCAGGTATTAAGATAGCAATGTGTCTTTATTATTTACTTTATAGAAACTGTGGCATTTAAAGGGTATGGCCATAAAGAGCGCCATCTGCCCTTTCTTAAAAAAAACTAACATGATCTCAAATGTGTAATAACAAAAACAATAATGATCCTTGCGTACGATATAGCGCCTTATCATTTCTTCGAGATGTCTCAAAGTGATTCCCGGGCAGGGCAAAACGTTGGACAAGTTTCCTTACTTGCAAGCGATTACTATGAATATAATCCTAATACGATAATTATAACTATATTATAATTATAATGGAGATTAGTTTTGCAGGTATGAAATTAGTAATGCATAGTTATTATTTACTTGCTAGAAATTGTGGTGTTTAAATAATATGGCTATAAAGTGCGCTATTTTCCCTTTTCAAAAATAACCTATTATGATCTCAACTGTGCGTAATAATAATAAAAATAATTATTATTCTTGCAATTCATATATCACATCTTTGAGACGTCTCAAAGCACTTCACAGAATATACTATAAAGTGAATTGACTGTAAATTTTGTGGGCGAAATGTAGCAGCCAATGCCGGGAATCAAACCGAGGTTCTCTACAGGACTTCTCATGTGTGTGTATGTGTGTGGGGGGAGGAAGGGATTACTGAAAAACAATTTTTTGCTTAACAATATTTTCCACTTTCCATCTCCAGAGAATCCACTCCTCGAGTCCTTAAATTTTAAGGCAACTTGGTGCAATGGGGTAAGACTGGGTGGAATTTCAGGAACAGAATGCATTCTCTTGTTCTTTCCTGGGGGAATAAAAGAGGCAAAGAATGGCCTTTTAATGTGCTGTAAAAGGGGGGGAAATGGGTCCCTATCGTAGCCCTGATCCTCATGGCCACCTTTGTGTGTAGCTGCCTGAGGCTATGCCTGGAGCCCCGCTACGGTACGTGCCGGGTTTCTACCTGTACCCAATGTTAAGAAGGGTGGGTCTGGCAGAACTGCCTCAAAACGTTCTACACAGTTGGAGTTCCAGTTGGAGAACACAGTTCCACACCCCTGATCCTATGTTGAGAAATTTCTGACGAACACCATCCCAGACCCCCGCGCAATATCACCGAGTGGGTCCGCACAACAGGTAGTCAAAACAGTTCAAAAGGTGGAGCAGGCAGACCCGATCAGGAGGTGCCCTGCGGCGACAGCCAGTTACGTCTGGCAAAATGCCTCGTCACCGGCCTTGACCAACAACCATCAGGACATGGCAATAAAAGGGCCCCCTTCCTCTCAGGGCTTTCTTGCACTGTTGAGGTCTGGGCCAGTCAGCACGTTGCCCTCGGGCCAGTTGCAGAGGCCAGGAGACCGTGGGCCACCTCTTCCTGGAGTGTTTGACAAAGGCGATTTGGAAAAAGATGGAATGGATTCTCTCGCGGTTTGTCCCTGGGGACCTGCTGTCACGGCATTCGGTGCTGTACGGCCTGTTCCCGGGCACTCACAGCGAAACCCACATCGAGTGTACCTGGAGGATCATAAACTCAGTAAAGGAGGCCCTTGGCACCTTATCAGTGTGCCTTATCGGGGTGTATGCGGGTGCGCACATGGATGTAGTGTATACACGGGGCCGACTCTCGACTGTTTTAATGGGATCGTCCCAAAAAGCGTATGCACAACCTATGTGTAGTGAAGGAATGTACCACAAACAACTGAATTTTTTTTTGTCTCAGGAGAAAAGGAAAAAAAATTGTAACAGAAGATGTTGTGTTTGTTTTGGATTTCTGTTGTACCAAATATTCTATTTATAAATAAATACATATTTTCAACAAAAAAAAGCAATGCAGTGATGGCCAAACTAAGCCTCGCAGGCCAACTCCAATCTGTAGGAATGTCCAGAAGGCGTCTAGTTAATCAATCATGTTCAACAACACCACAACAACAAAATACTTTTGCCTGTTTGACACTGCCAGTGCTGGAATTGTCCAGCGCCTTGGGAGGTCCTCCCAACGTGAAAGGCACTATACAAATGTAATTTTGTTGTTGTGTTGTTGAAAAAAAATGTTGAGTGTTTCAGACCCAAGCTGGGGGCTGAGATCGGGGAGGGTGGAGGGCAGGGGGATAAAGTTGGGTGACCGAAGGCACGGTCGAAGAGGAGGGTCTTGAGATGGATCTTGAAGGAAGCGAGGGAGGGGGCGAGACAGAGGGACTGCAGGAGAGAGTTTCAGCGGATGGGGGCAGAGCCCCCCTGCCAATGGTGGGTTGAGCGGAGTGAGTGGGCAGTTTGGTAGGAGGTTAGGAAGTCGCAAAGTTAGTGGGGAGCAAGGCCATGGAGGGCTTTGAAGGTGAGGACCAGGATCTTGACAAGGATCTTGAAATTACCAATGTTCAATCGGTAGTGTGTTTCCAGGTTTTTCTTGGTTTGATTTATGGCATAAATCAAGAAAGACTATTTTGGCTCTGGAAATGGATGTCACGATGACACCCAAAAGAAGTTAAAAATGGAGTTAAATGCTCAGACTGTTATCTGGGGAAATCGTCTAATGACTACGTAGTGTCTCTTGTCCATAAAAAATCTTCTCTCTCACCAGGCTAACAAGGTGAGATAGATTACTAGACACAAAGCAAGTAGTTTATAATAATAATAATAATTCTTGCATTTGATATAGCACTTTTCACGTCTTCTAGACGTCTCAAAGTACTTCACAGAATATACTGTAAAGTGAATTGACTGTATATTTGTGGGTGACATGCAGCAGCCAATTGTGCACTGCAGTGTCCCACAGGCAGTTGTGGATTGAAATGATCAATTTTATTATTGGTTTTTTTTCTGAGGGATAATAATCAGGCGTGTGGAGTAAGGAAACTTACTTACTAACTTAGTTTACTGAAAGCAGTTGTTTACTCAGTTACAGACTATGTGCTAATGCTGTAGATCATTTCAACCTCATGAGCTGCCTCTGGCGGTGTCCGACAGGCAACAATGTCTCCAGGGACATTAGCCAGGTGGCAGGAAATCTGGCCACTCAGTAGACATTCCCAATGCATCAGCAAGGTACACAGCTCACATGTTTACACATGTTTGTGGAATACTGTAGCTTAGTGGTTACAGCACTCACTTCTCAAGCAGGAGGGCCTGGACTCGATTCCCGGACAGGGTGAAACTTTGGGCAAGTTTCCTTACTCCACACGTCTCTGTTTACTTACTCCAGATTACTCCAGTAATTACTCCAGCAGTCGAGCATGG